GACCATCAAAATGACTGTACAACGATAAATTTTATTATGTAGTACTTAAACCAAGCTAAAAATTTGCACCTCTCAGATTTGCCATGAAAGCTAAGTTATTAAAAATAGATATTGATATTTTTCTGTCTTCTATGACGTGAATTTTTAATTTAATTTCTACGACACTTAACTTCCTGAAATTAAGTGTTGTAGACCCATAACAATTGAAAAATCCGTTATTGACTAAAGACTATAAAAACAAAAAGATAATTCAACTAATTATCTTTTCGCTTTTGATTTCGTTAAAATGAATAACAACGCCTTGTGAGTTGTTATTCATTTAAACTGGATAAAAGTATTGTTAAAAGCTCTATTTTAGCCTGAAACATGCTTTACTTAATAACATAAAATTATAAAAATTGGCAGTATCATAAGCAACAGATAAAATACACATAAACAAAAATATAGACTTAAAAACTGCAATGATGTTTAGCTATAAGAAAGTGTATCCTTTCAGCATCATTTTCACTTATTCTTTTGTATCCAAACCAAAAGTTTTGCAGACAATTCTAAAGATAAATCTGTTGTCATTATGTGCATTTTTTACTTGCTTTGTTAACAACAAATAACAGTTAACAAGGAAATAACAGCTTTAACATAAAAGTTAAAGAGCCAATCTTTTGTCTTAACAATTTGATCATTCAACTAAGTCCAAACAACAAAATTATTCAGATCATTTAAAAATATTAAAAAAAAAAAAAAAATTCCAAGTTGAATGCTTCTTCTTTTCTATTGTCCATTTCACTGGCACTGGCACTTGAACAAGTAAATACAGACAGAAATTGTTCACAGGTTGTATATCTCGTCTGGAAATAAATATTTTTATTTAATATGTAATAAACAACGTTCATCAAGCACAACACATTAAAAAATTATTTAAAAAAAAAAACAGTAAAACTTTTTAAAACATTACCTGCGACTAATTTAATTGAGACTAGATCATATTGATACCATAGCTTTGTTTAATGGAGAACTTTTGTACTTCAGTACATTATTCCTTGTAGCCAATACAATTTTTTCTCTGCTTTGTCTTACCATCTTACTGGAACCACGCCATCCACTTTTTGCTTTTTCCCATTAAAACTTTCTAGCAAATAAGCTGCAGCCCATCAATTTTGAAACTCCATTTAAACAAAGTGTTTTAAGGATACAAGATAGATAAAATAAGATTGTAAAATCCATTTATCATACCAATATAAAATGACTCATTAATCCATTTATCATACCAATATAAAATGACTCATTAATCCATTTATCATACCAATATAAAATTGACTCATTTTGTCAAAAATTATGCCTCTGTTGGTAAAAAGTGTGTTTAAGACATAGCACTATTTGAATAAATGTTAAAAATAAAAAAGTTATAAAACTCAAAAAAAAAAAAAGCTAATGATTATATATAAAAAAAAAATTTTATTTGCTTTTGATGATTGCACTGAATTGTTTCTCCATTCTTGCAATTTCAGGCAATAGATAATTAAATTAATGTAAAAAAGTTTTTTATACCACTATATAAAAAATGAAAAACAGAAGGTTTTATATGAATTGAATATATATGATCCAGGGGTGTGGAGTTGTAAAAAAAAGTACAGACTTTTGAGTATGACTCCGACTCCAACTCCAAAGCAAAATTTTTGAAAAATTTTTTGAATTCTTTAAAAAATATTATACGATAAGTTACAAATTTTTTTTTTTGACAAATTTATGAAAAGTTCTTTGAGGTTTAGTATTAATATATGGTTGATTGAATATTTTGTACATGCACGTGCAATACCAAAAAGTTTTACTATTGGAGTCTGAGTCGCGGTTTTGTTTAGTGACTCCGACTCCACTAAAAATATATCCAATCCCCAACTCCGACTCCACAGCCCTAATATGATTTATATATCATTTTAAAGAGGATAAAAGTCTGCTATTTTTTACTTTATTAAAAAAAAAGTTCTATCCTGGGCAACGTTAATTACAAAGTTATATATATCACCTTAATTACAATTAATTGTATATATACCATCTATTATACAATTAATATATATACCACGTTAATCACAAAGTTATATTGAAAGTTATGTTAAGCTTACGTTTTAAACATAATCAACCTAAACATAACAGATTATCATTTACCACTTTAACCACATTACAAGCCCAAATTTGAAACGCCTTAAGATTTTGGGTTGTTTGTCATTGAAAAAATATTACGAGGGGAACTAAAAGTTTTTAAACTTATAGTTTTAAGCAAAAAATCCATTGCTGCATTTTACATAAGAACACCAGATTTCAAATTTATTAGATTTAATGTCCAAACTTTTCCACCCAAAGTATTACTTAAGCCTTCCATTTTTTTTTTTTTTTTTTTTTTTTTTTTTTTGAGTCTTCTAAGATTTTTATTTATAAATTACAATTTAATCAGCTTTTAGCATTTGGAATAGTGTAAAGAAAATGGTGAGTATGATTTAATTAACGTGTTTAAGTTATGATTTAAAAAAAAGAATAGCAAGGTGGCTCAATAGTTAAAAACTAAAATGCACATTTGTTCAACTAAATTGCAACATTTCTTTAAAGCTTTTTTTCACAGTAAAATGAACGTTTATGCCAGTAAATTTGTAACACTTGTTATCAGGGTGGCCAGGGTGGCACACTAAATCCATGCCGCTTTTTGCAAAAAGAAGAAAACATATTGTTGCCCAAATCCAAACCCTCAGTCAACGTAGCAGTAACTTCTTCGCATTTTCTTTCAATTTCATTTGAATTCACTTTTTAAATATAAATTAAAGCATCTTAAAAAAAAAGTTAAAATGTTTGAGGTCAATTTTATTTCTGCCTGAACGAAGTTGGAGATGACATTTCTTCTATAGTTTAGATTACATTTCTTCTATAGTTTAGATTATATTTCATCTACAAATTGGCTGTGCCAATTTGCAGCTCATAACTTTAATTAAACTAGGAGAATGTTCATGTAAGTTACTTGAGGCTGCCTCATTACCAGATGATTTTTCTGTAGTAATTCTTTTAATGGAAAGTGTTTATTAAAAAAAGTTAAAACTAACCATAACCATTTCCACGAACTTAATTCCTATTTAAAAATTTTTTAAAAAAGGGAAAAAACTTAAAATAACAGTTAACAAAATAAAAACCAGTAAAATATATCTTTTCTAATATATACATCGTGTACTCGTGGGTGTCCTTTATTCTTCTTACTAATAGCATGAAAATCCAAAGATACACATATTTTAGAAATATCAATATCTGTTCTGCACTAATAACATCTTGCTTTCTTAGAACTTAAAGTAAAAATTTTAACTAAGAATACTTTTTATCACTTAGCTTTTTTATTTAAAATTGAAAGCTTTTAGTCTCAAGCATTATATTATATATTACATTTTCTATTTAATTTGTAGATATAAATAAAACTGAACCAAACATTAAAGAAATAATTTTTTTTATTCCAAAAAATAGATTATTAAATAATCTATATATCTACTTAATAATCAAACTAAAAAAAAAATGTAATATAAAAAAATGGTAAAGGACTATTAAATCAATTAAAAAAAAAAAATCCTAAGCATTATAGAACTAATTGCGACAAATGTTTTTAAATATTTTTAGATGTTTTTAAATGGCTTATCCAAAAACTATTAAACTCCAAGAGTTTTTCAGGTTTTCAAAGAAGGCTGGCCACACTGATAATTAACTGTTGAACCTTGTTTTAGTAACAAAAAGTAATTAAAGTTATTCTTACCTTAATTGTATCGAATGCAATTACTTTTTATAAACTGTTGGCTAATGATTAATATGGTAAATTTCAAATCATGAAAATTTACTAAATTAAAACCATGTTTCAACAGTAGACAAACTAAAAGAAAACAAATAAAAATTAGAAATGCAAAAAATTAAATTTCTACTATCTTTATATTTAAAATAGAAAAGATAACCTTACTACTAGGCAATGACAAAAATAAAACTAAATTAAAAAAAAAGAGTAAAATAAAAAAAAGAATACATTTTTAAGTAAAAAAATATTGAATTGTTACATAATTATCCAGCAGTTGTAACATAATTATCCACCAATTATATCAGCAGGTTTTTTATCAGTGAAAAGTAGCGTTTAGTTTATTATTTTTGTATTAAAATAACCTTCTCTAAAAATTTCTCTTTTAAAAATACGCATGTCAAAAACCATAGCCATAATTGCCATATTATGCTCTAGCATTACGAGAGGATGGAAAGCAGCACAGCTATTTTGCGAAGAAAAAAGGAAAAACCAGAGTAGGGAGTGGTTTTCTTGTTTTAAATCAAGCAATATCAGCTCAGAGGATAAACCGGGAAGAGATTGGCCATTGGATTTCAATTAAAAGGCTATTCTGGCAGCCATGGAAGAGAACAACCCAGCAAACAAAAAGATCTAAAATGCATCTAATATGCATTTAAACACTGGCCTAAAAGATGTCTAAATTCAGGTCTAGAACGGGACATAAATAGACGTTTATCTTACAGACGTCTTTTAGATGCATTTTATTCGACACAAATAATTGCTTTAGACGCATAAAAGATGTGAAATATACATTTTACAGATGCATATTAGATGTATAAAATACGTCTCTAAAATAGATGTCTAAGGCGCGTTTAAAAAAAGATAGATAATAGATAATTTTTTTAGCTAATAATAGCTCTTTTATACATCTAATATACATCTAATATACATCTTTGAATGTATATTTCACATCTTTTATGCATCAAAGGCATTTATTTGTGTCGAATAAAATGCATCTAAAAGACACCTATAAGATAGACATCTATTTATGTCCCGTTCACGACGTGAATTTAGACGTTTTTAGACCAGTTTTTAGATGCATATTAGATGCATTTTAGATATCTTTTTGTTTGCTGGGACTTGTTTGATACAAAGGTGTTATAGCGGTTAAATTAGTCATAAAAAATGATTACGTTAAATAAGTAAAGAAACATTTTAACTAAAATTACTTATTTTTATGTCACAAAAATATACATAAGAAACTATATTTCGGCATTGCCGTTAACATCTTCTTCCATGTCGCCGATATCTAAAATATATACATTAATGACATTTAAATGACTTTAAAAGACATGTAGAATTCTGAAAAATCTATTTTTATGAAATATTATATATATATATATATATATATATATATATATATATATATATATATATATATATATATATATATATATATATATATATATATATATATATATATATAAATATATACATATAAATATATATATATATATATACACATATATACATGTATATATATATATATGTATATATATATATATATATATATATATATATATATATATATATATATATATATATATATATATATATATATATATATATATATATACACACATATACATGTATATATATATATATATATATATATATATATACACACATATACATGTATATATATATATATATATATATATATATATATATATATATATATATATATATTATATATATATATATATATAAACAAGAAAATTTGTATCTCAACCAGATACAATAATAAACAACAATTGTTTTATGAAAAAACTAAAGGAACTTGTATTATGGATACAAAAATTCTAGCATGACACAAAAAAGACGAAGAATATCTTTTTAATACAGATATCAGTTTTGTAAATACTATTAAAACTATACCTCGTAAAACACTTCGTATATTTACTAGATTTTCTAAGTTTATCTTTTCCCCATTTCCTTTTCGATTTAATTTGGACTGTAACTGATTCGAAAATAACCTGATAAATATTTTAACAATAAACTGAAATATATTTGTAAAGATTTTTATTTTAATATATGTAATAAATGAAAACATATTTTAATATATGAATGCTTAAAATTGTGAAAGGTATAAGCATTAAATTTGAAAATAAAATGCTAAACAAGGTTTAGCATTACACTTACTTTAGCACACAAACAAACTTAAACAACTACAGTGAAGCTATCGAGTTTATCAAAATGTCATGTTAAAAGTAAATCCATAACAAATAATGGTCAAAATGAATTGCTGTTGGTCCCTTTTGATCATATTTCTAATAATTAATAAAAACATAATCATTTACCTTTTCATGATCAAAAAAACATGTTCTCTTGGCTTTCCGCCACCAATCTTTTTCAAACCATCAAGCTGAAATAAATGTAATAAAAATTAGTTCAACTTAAATTTTTTTTACAACATATTGAGTCTAACAAAAGCTAATTATTTTAGTTCATTTAAAATACTTTTCATTTAGATTCTAAACTAATAAACCAAATTTAAACAAACTTATTAAAAATTAAGATAATTAGATTACCAAATTAGTATACTCTGTTTTATCTTTTAGTTTATTATCCAGTGTAACCACTTCGTCCACTTATTCTAGCAACTTCAACCCAGTAGCCTGAAACTTAATTTCTATAACTTCTTTTAAAAGAACTTATATTTCTGCAAGCTCATTGAGAATAACATTTTGCATCTCTACAAACAAGAATAAAAAGATTGATTAACATATTTAGCTCATAAAACCAAATAGCAAAACAATGAAATAACAATTTTAAAATTCAAATTATGCTTGAGTAACTCAAACTAAAATTCCAAAAATACATGTAATTTTTTTTATTACTCCATCACAGAAGTTGCCATAATATTTTGGAAAACCTACTTTTTAAAAAGCTAAAACTTTATCTGTAGAATCAGACAAAGGCAAAAGAGTCAGATTGGAAACCTAATAAAAAATAAATTTGACTAAATTAACCTAATAAAAATTAATCTAATAAAAAAAATAATCCACTCAAGTTATTGGTAAACCCACTAAAAATAAATTAAACATTCAAGTTTTACAGAAATTCTTATTTAATTTTGACAAATAAACAACAACAAATAATATTCAAACCGTTACTGATAACCCCGGGTGTGGAGTTGTAAAAAAAAAGTAATGACTCCGACTCCAGTTGTTGAAACTTTTTGAGCACAACTCCGACTCCGATTCCAACTCCAACTTCGATTACAACTCCAAAGCAATATTTTTGAAAAATTCTTGAAATTCTTTAAAAGATATTAAGGTATAAGTTAAAAATTTCTTTTTTGACAAATTTATGAAACATTCTTTGAGGTTTAGTATGAACATAAGGTTAATTGAATGTTTTGTACATGCACGTACAATACGGAGAAGTTTTACTATTGAGGTCGGAGTCGCGATTTTGTTTAGTGACTCCGACCAAAGCCTGCCAACTCGACTAAAAATCCATATATTCATGTGTAATTGCCCGTACATTGAATTATGGGATGTCTTGCGGGACCATATTATAAACAACATAAATTTACTATACATCTTTGTTGTCTGCTAAATATATATTATATATTATAATATTATTAGATTTTGCTTTTCAAAAATTAAGTTGCTTTTTCTATAAATACAATATTAAATATGCCAGCTTTTTGCTCAGCCATCATTGTGTTAACAAGCGTGGAAAGAATGTTGGAAATAATATATCTTTTTTTAGATTTCCAAAAGATAAAAATAGGTAAGTAATTATTAGTCAAATCAAGTTTATTAAATAACTAGTATATCAAGAATTTAAAGAAACTTTTAAAACATTGTTTTACTTTAAATTTTATGAAACAAAAAATATTTATACATAATATGATGTAAATAATTCCACTAAATTAATTAGGTTTAACCTATTATTTAGATGCAAGCTTTGGGTGCGTAATTGTCGTCGTCAAGATCTCGATACAAAATCATGTGAAGAACTTAATCTTAACTATACTATTTGTAGTGAACATTTTGATTCTTCACAATACTATCTTGCCAATAATGGTAGTAAAAGAGCACTTGTAACTGCTGTACCAACAATTTTTAACTTTCCAAACCAACCTTCTACCTTAAATTTAAAGAGAAAACAGCCTACAAACAGACTTCATTTACAAGATAAAATACAAAAAAAAAGAAATCAACGATAAAGTCAAATTAAATAAAATAAATAGTGTTGAGAATAGCAGTACAAATAATGTAACAGTCAAAACTACTTTTAAAAATAAATATTTATCATCTCAAGTTAAGATTTTTTGACTTAAAAAAAAACTTAAAAACCTGAAGATAAAGCATGATATGTTAAAAAAATGCGATGGTTCAATAGAACATATTATTAATTTGTCTAAAAAATATTTAACAAATACTCAACTTCAATTTTTTGAAAGTCAATTACGTATGAATAATCATATCAAACAGGGAAAACGTTGGACTATTGAAGATAAAATTTTAGCTTTAAGAATCATGTATCGCAGTCCACAAGCTTTCAAAATGTTTAGAAAAGTTTTTTCGTTACCTTCTAGAAGCACTATTTTAATGTTTCTTGAAAAATCTTTTGGGACCCTTGAATCTGGTTTTTCCAATAAGGTTATTGCTTTACTAAAAATGCGAGTAAATACCATGAAAAAATTGGAACGAAACTGTAGTCTTGTTTTTGATGAAATGTCTTTAAAGCAACATCTTGATTATGACAAAAACAATGATAAGATCATTGATTTAATCTTATGGCAAACCAGTAAACCAAGTACTTGTATTGATGGTCCGTGGATTATCAACAAAATGGAAACAACCAATTGCATATTTTTACAGTAATACTACTATGTGTTCAACCAATTTAGCTAAGATAATAAATAATGCCATGATTCATCTACATAAAATAGGTTTAGCTGTAAGATGTCTTGTTTGTGATCAAAGCTCGAGTAATATAAGAGCTCTCAAATTTTTAGGATTTTTATTATTAAATCAACAAATTTCACGTCCAACTACACAAGCAAAAGTTTATATAATATTTGATCCACCACATCTTATAAAAAATGCTAGAAACAATTTAATAAAACATGACATTTTATCTGATGGTAAAATAATATCGTGGAAGCATCTGGAAGAATTTTATAATTTAGACAAAGTTAATGCTGTGCGACTTGTGCCAAAGTTGACAGATCGTCATTTAGATCCAGGATCACTATTAGCTATGTGAGTAAAATTGGCAACACAAGTTTTTAGTAGTCAAGTTGCTACTGCTTTGACTGAATACGCTTCTGCAACAGCCTTTTTTATTAAAAATATGGATATTTTATTTGATATCTTGAACTCTCGGAAACTAAAAGCAGATAAATCAACACGCTCTGCTTTAAGGGGCCATCCATAAAGTACGTACGCATGTATGGGGGGAGGGGGGTTATCCTGAAACGTACGAATGCGTAAAGGGGGGGGGGGAGGGTGTTAACGACAGCGAGTACGTACGCGGTTTAACTATCTCTCCTAAACTTCTTTATAAAAACATTGAATTTCACGTGTTTTAATGTTTTTTTATAAAAACATTGAATTTCACGTTAAAAAACCATAATATAATATATGTTATTTTTTTTTCTGACTTTTTTATTTTTCTTTATAAGTAACGAGGAGAGAAAAAATCGAGCTATAGTATCTCCAAATAATGTTTTCCATTTTTTGCAACATAATTCGACTGTAGCAAAATGAAAAGTAACAAAACTGTAATCAAAGAAAACTTCTTCTGAATTCTTTTTTTAATTACAAACCTGGTTTTTCCCATTTCTCTTAAAAGGTTAATATTTTGTTTTTAAAAAACAATAAAATAAAAAAAGGTAATATTATTTTTTTTATTATCATTAAAGTTAATATTTACATACATTAAGATTGCTAAGGACAGGCGAAGCGAAATGAACATACATGTGACAATGCATATGTATGTTCATACTTTAAATGCTGATGGAAACCAACACTTTTTATGATGCAATGTAACGGCAATTATCTTGAGTAAACTAAAACAAAAAAAACTTTTATGATTCTATTCGAAAACTCTATACGCCTCATTGGAAAAAAAACTTATTATTTATTATGACCAAGATGCCGCGCGGGAACGAGAAAAAATACCTTCAATTCCTTGAGTTATATAAAAAAGTATATTTAACACTTGAAAAACAAAAGCAGTATCAGCAAGCACAAGAGTTGTGGAAAATAGTAAAAAACAATGAATCCTTGTATGAAAAAAAAATAAATGAGTTAAAAGAGAAAGTAACAAAGTCGAAAGTATCACTTATGTCATTCTGGGGAAATACCATTTCACCACCTAGCAAAAAGAAAAAAGATATCCATCCAGCGCCGTCTTCGTCAAATGAAACACGAAGTTTCCTAAATGCAACTACGACAGAGCCTGCAAGGATTGAAATTAGTAAGCTAATTTCTGTAATATTTTAAAAACTTTTTCTCTCTTGTGATTTTCTATACATTAGGCCGGGTGAATAAAAAAGAGCAATTGCTTTTTCTCAGTAACTGTTCAGCTTTGCGTGAATAAAAAATTTGACCAAGATTGCTCAAATTTTTATTCACGTAAAGCTGAACAATTTACTCCAACAACGCTCAACTTTACGTAAATAGAAATTTGAGGATAATTGCTCAATTTTTTATTCACGTAAAACTGAACAATTACTGAGTAAAAGCAATTGCTCTTTTTTATTCACCCGGCCTACTGAGTTTAACCGTATTGTAAATCAAACTACATCGTACGACCTTAGAGCAGTCACAGAAATTTATAATGTTGACCACTAGACCTATTTTTCTATATCCAAAATAAATTGATTAGTAGTAATTGTCAAGAATTTATAATAGCTTATTTTTTGGCATTTTTTAATTTAGATTTAACAGACAACAAAAAAGAAAGAGAAAATCCGGCACAAGTTAGGAGTCGAAAGAAAATCTCAGATCTTGAATCACAACGTGCATCCTTGATAGTCGTACGTGATTCTGGTTTATCTACCGTAACAAAGGAACAAATAAACACTGTGAAAGAAACCATAAGAAAAGAAAAAACAAAATTGGACAGGTAAGATAATTTAGTTATGTATTTCTTTATTTGATATTTCATTTTAGAATGCTTAACTGTCAGGTTTCTAGTAAATATCAAGAGATATATGTTAAATAATACAGAGTTTATTTATGCGTATAGAAAAGCGTCTTGGCTATAAAAACCAAACATTTTCAAAGACAGAAACTTTCATAATCTTATTGTAAATAATACTTTCTTATTTGAAATAAGAATTTGCGTACTTTTTCTTTTGCAACATTAGCCAAAAGTTGCGAAACCTTAAGTATAGAAGTTTTTATAACGGAATCAAAGCTTTACTGATATTTCGTTTTCAGATTGATTCGTGAATCAGCTCGTCAAAGAAAACGAAGACAAAAACTTAAAGAGAGCATCGAAACTGTGTGTCAGAACATCCCTGAAGCATCAAGTGCTTTGAAACAGTTTAGTCGAAACCATACTGGACGACCGCGTCTCAAAGTTAACCAACCAGAGCTTTTATCAACAATTATAAAAATTGTGCAAAATTTATCAGCAGCTGACGAACGTCGAAGAACAGAATGTCTCCGTAGCGTCTCCACTTTAGATGACCTTCAGGAAGAGTTGACAAAGATAGGCTTTACCTTGAGTAGGAGTGGTTTGTACCTTCGTCTTTTACCACGACGTGGAAACACTTCTGAAGGAAAAAAACATGTCAGCACAGTTCCAGTAAAGCTGTTACGTCCAGAAAACTCAATGCGAAAAAAAAAATGACGATAGAATGTTTGCCAAATCATTCATTGACGACATGTTCGAAGTTTGCAAATTGTTTGGACCAAAAGCTGTGCTTTTCATTTCCAACGATGATAAAGCCAGGGTCCCATTGGGTGTTGCTGCAGCAAGCCTTCAAGCGCCGTTGCTGATGCATATGGAATACAAGGTCAACTCATGGATCACGATTTTGTCGTTAGCTCACAGCACAAATTGATCCCATCAGTGTATGGCGTATGCGAAGTTAACAATACTGGAAATGTATCATACAGTGGGGACACTTTCATACGCATAAGAAGTGCGAAACACGATACATCAAATGCTTTTACACATGCTTTTGATGTTAGAGAGCTTTTTAAAACCGAGTTGGTTAAACGTAGACCAATTATGTTAATGGAGACTGATGGAGCTCAGGATGAAGCACCACGTTTCCCTAAAACCTTAGCAACTGCTGTTGACCTCTTTCGCTTGCTTAATTTAGATGCCCTTCTTCATGGTGTGAATGCAGCTGGCCTTTCAGCCTTTAACCCCGTAGAACGAAGAATGGCACCTCTTTCTCGTGATTTGGCTGGAATAGTCCTTCCTCATGATTTTTTTGGCAATCACCTTGATTCTTCTGGAAAAACAATCGACTATGAATTGGAGGTAGAGAACTTTCAAAAAGCGGCTGACGTTTTATCCCAAAACCGTCATTGACGGGTATCCTGTTCATTGCCAGGCTGTACCAGTTGGGAAAGCATATGAACCACCAATTCCAGATCCTGTTTGGGTAAACAAACATTGTCAGCAATCGCGATACAGCCTACAAATCGTAAAATGCTAAGAGGAGTCATGTTGCACACCGTTTGAAACAAACTGGCTGAAAAACTTCCCCCAACGTTTCATTCCATTTCCGGCAATCTACGAATACTGCGAGAATGGTTACAAAGCAATGGAACCGTCTCGATATTTTAAAAACGTATCAAAACAATCAACGTTTGCACCACTGACACATCGACTTTTGCTACATGATATACCTATAGAAGGATTAAAATACAAAATTATACCATTTGATCTGTATTGCCCATCGTTAAAGGAAAAGCTCTTAAACGGAATTTGCGACAAGTTCAATAAATACTGGCCAAGCGAGGCTGCAATGAAACGGCACAAGAAAGCACATACACAAAAAAAAAACACGGTTGAAATGGAGAGTGAGGATAGTGTAAGTGACAGTGAATCTATTAATAAAAGTGAAGATATCAGTGAGGAGATTGATTATAAAAGTGTGGAAGCAGAGTTCATGCCTGTATTTGATAACATATTTAATTTATTTAAGTCACCATTTGAGGAAATATGAAATATAAATACTCGCAACAAGAATTCTTTTTTAGAATATTTTTCTTTCTTTAACAAAAACTGGAAAGTTATTAACAAATAACTTTCCGGTTTTTAATTAAGCACAGAGAAATTAACAAAATGTTTTTTTGTGTTTAATGTTTTGAAAAATTAATGCGTTGGGGAAGGAAGGGGAGGAGAGCCTGAACTTGTAATAAAAAATGCGTACGTACGCATAAGGGGGGGGGGAGGTCGTTGAAAGCATACAAGTGCGTACAAGGGGGGAGGGGGGGGTCCTAAATCAGTGGTTTTACTGCGTACGTACTTTATGGATGGGCCCTAACTCTAAATAGTAGTTTTATACAAAAGCTTGAAGATTTAAGAGTTTGGATTAAGGGTTGGCATTTTTCTGGTGCTCGCAGCCAAAAAAGTATATCCAGTCATTGGGGTTTAGATGTCACTATTTCTAATATTCTTTGTCTTGTAAACGAGTTGCTTCATGAGGATTTTTTTTATGTTTGCACAGCTCAATTTAATCAGGACTGTTTAGAAAATTTTTTTGCATTAATATGAAGCAAAGGAGGCTGGAATGACAGACCAACAGCAATGCAGTTTAAATCAGCATATAAAAATGTCTTAGTACTCCTTTCAATAGAACAATCTAACTCTAACAGTAATTGTCTCCCTGAATCAGATTTCTCAGCTGCAGTTACCATTGACTCAATCACCAATATAGTATTTGAGAATCAAATTTCTGCAAATGAACAATTGATTTTCAAACATCCAACTGCATTATGTAAAAAGAAACAAAAGCCTTACACATTACAAACTGTTTCGACTTTACAAAACCTACTTCACGAAATGGAAACTGTTTTTATAACCCAAATGAATCTTATATTAACTAAAAAAAATATTATACAACAAATTATTAAAGTAATAAAAAACGATTGCAATTTTACATTTCTTTATGATGAACACATTGATCATGATTTTCATTTAGAAGAAAGTTTAATCAGACACTATGTTTATATGAAAATAACTTATTATATAAGGTTTTATAATCGTGATCTGGCACCACGAAACAAGACATGTAAAAACAAGTTAGCTCGCATTATCCATGCTTAATTTTATTTTAATGATAATTCTTGAAACAATATATTTCTTATTTATTATTGTTGTTTTTTCTCTCAGCATTATTAACTATATATTTAGCATCTAATTAAGGGGTATATATTTAAACTAATATGGAGTATTTATTTAAAATAATATGAAACGAATACAGTGATAACATGATTAAAATGACTTATGCAAAACATGCTAAATTTACATCAAATTTACAACTGCGTCATTAATGTTAACATATTAATGTTAGATGATATATAAATGTTATATAAGCAATGCTATGAAATAGTTTTAAAATTATTTTAATTTATAAAAGAAAAGTTTTTTAATGGGAAGCCCTCTGGTAAGAATAATGCAAAGGTATAAATATTTCACTAAGAGTTGCGTTGTTTATGACTACTTGGTCCCGCAAGACATCCCACAATGCTTTGCGGATAAAATTACATATATTTATCGGGAGTTGGCAGGCATTGACTCCGACTCCGCTGAAAATGTCTTAACTCCGCAACTCAGACTCCACAGCCCTGGTGATAACTTTTGTGTATTTTACTTTGGGCTTGGCTCAAGAGCAATTCTTGATATTTCCTCCTGTAAAAGGTTACGATATTAAAGAATTTTGTTTAACTACTAGGTAAAGTTGACCAAATGCTACACACATGATTTATCGGATCACAATATTATAAATAATCCATTTCTATTCTTTTATACCTATCTTGTACAATCATTTTAAAACAAAAACAAATTAATAAAAAAGACCTCTCTTATGTACACACATACATACATACATGTATGTATGTATGTATGTATGTATGTATGTATGTATGTATGTATGTATGTATGTATGTATGTATGTATGTATGTATGTATGTATGTATGTATGTATGTATGTATGTATGTATGTATGTATGTATGTATGTGTGTACATACACACACATTAACTCATAAAATCAAAACAGATTGTTAAAAGGGCATTATTTAATAATTATCAATATTGAAGTTTTTTTTTATTTCCTTTACATAGATCATGTACAGCCGAATAATAGACAAAATTCTTGTTCTGACAAATATACAAACTTTTTTTTTTATTAGTAAAAAGCATGTTAAAAGCAATCTTTAAATAAAACGTTAAAAGTACAGAATTCCATGATTTTAAATAACATCTAAAAGCAAGGTTTTTAGTTGAGGTGTACCGGATACGATATCAGGCCAGACATCCGGTTAAAAATACCGGATAATTTACTATCCGGTATCCAGCCGGATATATACTATATCCGGACGGATATACCGGATAATACTTTATGCTGTTAAGTTCTGGTGTTATTATGAAGGGCGTTTGAACAAGTCTTCAACTAAAAATTTGATTCCGAACAGCGAACGTAAAATATTTTAATGATCGCTATTGTAATTACGTATCACTTAATGATCACAATCTTACGATCACTTATGATCAATTAATGGTCACAAGCCTATCTTCAATTTAAACTTCCCAGAGCACAAAGAGGTTTGAAAAACCATTAAGAATTATTTAATAAATACATTTTTTTAGGGGAGGGTAATTTATCTTTTAAGTAGAAATTTAATTTTGAGAACTCTAAATCAAAATGGTTTACCGACACGCTGCTAAATCGGCTCTAACATGATGTTTTTAAAAGTCTCAGATATGACATTATCAAGCTTTGTGCAAACTCTAAACTTAAGTTTTTTATGCTTCCATAGAATGAAAGTGTTTTGCATCAAAAAATCATGGTAATTAGAGCTTGGGAACAAAAATAACCTTAGAGGTTATTTTCTCAACCACCTATCCCAAATGCAAGGGAAATCATTTAGTTATTTCATTATACTATCTAATACTCTAGCTAAATTCATCAATAGGTTTTAAATTTCATCAATTAATTTATGTTCCAAAGTTATGACCATGTTTAATTTATTACCCTTTCAATTTGGAGAGGGGTAAAAACACAGTCATAACTTTCCAACAATTTTTTTAAGATTTAAAATGATCGAAATTGAGAATTTAAAGAATTTGTTTTGCAAAAAAATTTTCTATCAAAATAATCAAAAATTTTTTTTTTTTTTAATGTTTAAATTTTTTTTTGATTTTATTATATTTTTTTGAAATTTCATCATAAACTTTTTTTTTTTTCTTTTTTGATATTTTGTTATAGATTTTTTCACTCAATAAATTGTCCTTGTTTAAAATAAAAATTTTGAAAAAATTTTTGGAGTAAAATTCATGAAAAAGATGGCCCAACCATGTACATATTTGCTGCCTGGACCTTGCCCTTACTTTGCATATTTGCCCTCTTGTCCCTACCCCTTATACACACTTGTACACTTTTAGATAATATTTAAACATTTTTAGATAATGTCGCCTCCCATACCTGCATACATACTTTATGAATGCCTCTTAAATCAAATTATTAAATTCAATGAAACAAAATGTTTTAGAAAGTTAATAATACTATCAAAGAACATAACAAATAAAATTTCATAAAAAATAAAAAGAACATAACAAATATAAAGAGTCATTCTATTTTCCTCCCATTATGGTGAATAAACAAAAGCATTTCTCCTGTTTTAGGCAATAACCTAGATCTCTTTTTCTCATAGATATTACCATATTCTGAGAACAATCTTTCAGAAAATATGGATGATGCAGGAGTGCATAGATGTTTCGAAGCAATTGTTTTTAAAAGAGGGAATCGTTCTTCTTGCATCCAGGTCTTTATTGGACAGAGTTTTCTGTCTACAAGTGGTTCAGAATAAAACTTTTTTATTTCTTTTCTAATCAAAATCTCATTTGATTTTTTCTCTAACTTTAATTTTTTAAAAGGTAATGGTTTTTCAGATGTTGCATTTATAATATCTTTGAAACATGCTTCAAGAGTGTCTTCTTTTTCAGTATTAATTGAAAAATTTAATTTTGATGGTTCTTCATTTACACTAAAATCTACTTCTTCAGAACAAACAAGAGTTTTTTCAAGGATAAAATTTTATTTATTAACCAGTACTTAGCCTGTTTTTTGATATCATCCTCAAAGAAAGAAAACTTATATCTTGGATCAATTGAAGTAGCTATGATATAGTACCTATTTTTCAAAATGTTTAAAGACTTCGCATCATTTATTTCAGAAAAAAATCGATTTTTTAAAGAAGTTGTAAGCCGATTCTTTGTTTCTTGAATACTTAAATCAACTTGACATTTTGACATAAATTTCTTCAATGAGCACATATTTGGAATTACAGAAGACAAAGTTGTTATTTCTGAACTCATTTCCTGAGTTAATTGGAAAAAAGGCTTTAACAGTTTAATAATGTTTAATATTAATGTCCATTCTAATGTAGAAAAGGGCATTAAATCAGAACGTTCTGCTAAGTATAGTTGAACTGGAATTTTCAACTTGTTTAATCTATCAAGCATAAGATAAGTGCTGTTCCATTTTGTTGGGACATCTTGAACAAGACAAAGAGGGTCGAGATTTTGTTGCAGCTGAATTTGTTTAAAGTTGTTACATGCTAGAGATGAATGGTTAAAATGAGTTACAAGTCGACGACATTTTGAAAGAACATCAATTACAATATTTTCACTTATTGAATCTGAAACAACTAATTGAAGTAAATGAATAGTACAATGGATTGCGGGAATTTCAGCTAGATTACTCCCACTTATCATGTTGCTTGCACCATCTCTTACAAGAATATGTCATCTTTCAGCTTGAATTTTCCAGCTATCCCACATACTTTCTAACTTTTTAGATATGTTTATTCCAGTATGGCTTTCAGGAAAATGAGAAGCATGTAATACCACATCAAATCTGTTAAAATCTTTATCAATGGAGTGGCTAGACAATGAAATAAATGATTCATGAGAAATTGGGCATGTCCATATATCTGAAGAAAAGTTTATGTAATCTGTTTTTATTAATTTATCAGAAATTTTATTATTTAACTCCATGTAAAGTTGAGGTATTATTGTTTTAGAAAAAAATTTTCTACTTGGCATGCAATATCTGGGTTCTAAATGGTTTATTAAGTTATTAAAACCTGTATCTTCAACTAAAGTAAATGGCTGGTTGTCTAAGGCCAATATCAACCCAATTTTACGATGAATAGTTTGCGACCTAGAGTCATTAATGCTCCATACCTTTTGTGACTTTAAATATTCATCTATTGAAGTTTGTTTAGAAGTTTCCAAAACAGTCTCTTTTTTTACTGTAGTACTAGTTGAAAAAAATTCTGGTGTGATTTTATTGACAGCCTGAGCTTTTTTTTTCTGTTCATTTTTATTTCGTTCTATATAATATTCTTTTGGATGATTTATTTTGATGTGGTTATGCAGAGGTGTTGTGCTAAAACATTTTTGCCCAGCCTCCATAGTTCCACGTTTAATCATTTTTTTTACAGATATTACAGTTTGCATACACATCACTTGCATCATTTATTTTATACAATGACTAGATAAAGCTCTGCATTATTATGTTTGTCTGAAATATAAAACTAAACGTGTTCACAATTGACATTAAATATTTAACTATATTAGTATAATAGTTAAATATTTAATAAATATCTTGGTATCAAATGTATGTGTATAATAATTATACACATACATTTGATACCAAGATATTTATCTGTATTATACAGATGGTAATTTTGATATCTATACAGTGTATCAATACTACATTGAAATTAATATTGCATTGTTAACTTTCAATGTAAACATTGTTAGATTCCAAATGCATTGTTACATTGTAAAGAAAACAATAAAAAAAAACATAACAAAAAAATTAAAGTAATAATACATAGTTTGGAAATTTAGATAGCAACCTAATTTTAAAGTTATTGCTACGTAATTAATTGTTAATAAATTTTCAAACTACAATAAAAACAGATAATCCAATTATGCAGAAAGACATGCAAAATGTAATACAATTTTTTTTATTTTTTTTGTGGATTTACACACTATTTTGCACTTTCCCAATTTGACTAAAAACAAACATCAAAACTAAATCCTATCCTAATTTTCAATATATCCGGTATATCCGGCATATCCGGCCGGATATGAAATTTTAAATCCGGCATATCCGTATCCGGCCGTATACGTAACATGCAATATCCGGTACACCTCTAGTTTTTAGTTAAAATTTTTGGCTAAAAGATGGCGTCTAAAATCATAAAAATCGAACAACCAATCAAAAACGATCCAGGTATGTTCGCTCTCTGAGTATATAGGCTCTCTAGGTCTGTGTTTTCTTCAAAATCGCAAACCTACTTTTGGATCATCCAAACCCATGCCGATATTATATGATGCGATGAAACCATGCCTTCGATTTATTTGGCACAAAATATAAATGAATGTCAAAAAAACTTGTTTAACGAAAAAAACTTGTTTAACGAAGTATTGTGTGATTAATTAACGCATCCGATTAACAATTTTAATAATCCTAATAGCGCACTATCTTTTATATATAAAAAATTGAAGAAATCGTGGTACATTACTTACAGGTCATTCCGAAATCATATTTTTAATGTTATGTTAATAATATTAACATGATTTACTAATACGTATGTATAATATTAATAATATTATTCATACGTATTAGTAAATCATGTAACATTTGTTGTAGTTGTTGTATACAATATTATTAAATTAACAACTACATCGAATGTTATTTGATTTACTAACACTGTTCAACAGTGTTACCAACAGTCTGTTGGTAAGTCATGTAACATTTGAATAGGGAACTCAACACTCATTAAGTAATGGTGCTCTTAAGCAAGGTTACATTTATAGCTTCTCATTTTTATATTTTGCTGTTTTTTGTCTTAAATTTGTCAATACCTTTGTAGAATTTATGCAACAGTATGTCATAAACGTAAGATGCCATAAACCTTCATCTAGCTCATTGCCAATGAGCTAGACAAAGGATTATGGCATCTAGCTCATTGCTAATGACATTAGCAATGAGCTAGATGGCATTGAAATAGTTTTTTAACTCTAGCTTAGTATATCGCAATGTATCAATGTGACTAATACCTCATTATTCACATTGATGCATTCAAATAACAATTAAACTTTTTATAAATTATTTTCAGCAGAGCTGGATAAATGATAAATCATTAATGCAATGCATAATTAGTTTTAAGATATCTAAATATTTTTTGAATATAGTGTTTAATCCTTTAGGGATAAATATTTATATCCTTTTTAAAACATGTTGACTCTTCCTAATACTATTATGTCTTTTCCTCTACCATCATTTTTGAAAACTTATTACTTTGGATATAAGCCAATTATTTAACTGTTTCTAAGATGAAGTTTCTATTTTACATTTCTATTTTTAAAGAAATTTATTTCTTAATAAATTTGTTTTTGTTTAAATTTGAAGAGGCATTTTTTATATTAGGTACACGTAAATCTAACCTTAACAGAACAATAAAAAAACATGAGCATATAAATAATATGTTTATGTTTTTATAATACTTGTGGTAATATGCCAATAATACTCTTCAAATAAGTTTGATTTAATATCTATCAAGTTTGTTGATCCATGGAGCGTTTCTAATCTTAATCTTGGCTTAATATTGTTATTTAGTATAAAGCTAATTTTTTTCTGTAAATAAAGTAGTTTTTTTAATATATGCTGAAGAAACAATAACAATCTAAGCATTAATATATCTTTAAACTTGATTTGCTGCAGGCATTTTGCAGTGTTTTAAAAGACCTGTGAGTCTTTTTTTGAAAAAACCATATAGAAATAAGTTTGCGAATTTGTATGGAAAATATATATCTTCAAGTAGAAAATCACTATATAAATTAAAGGAAGTCAATATGTCTCAACTACTGTAATATTTCACACATTTATGGAAAATGTTGATACTGTTATAAAAAGAATTATTCTAGTAATATATATATATATATATATATATATATATATATATATATATATATATTCATATATATATATATATATATATATATATATATATATATATATATATATATATATATATATATATATATATATATATATATATATGTATTTACATATTAGGGATGCGGAGTCCCAAAAGGACTCCAGCTTTATAACTATATATTTTTATGGTCTCTGGTATCTAGAAGCTCTAAACAAGTTGGTTGATTAATGATCTGCTACAAGAAAAAAATTTATAATATTAAATGACTTGGAACTTATTATTTTTAAGCCCGGAGTCCTGGAGTCTCGTATCCTTGCCATCAATATACCTAAGGACTCCGGGTTCAAAAATTGATTGTTCTTCTGACCTATAAGTTATAATTTTTCCCCTATTATCTTCAAAACTCCTGGATAATAAAAACTAGAAAGAAGTAATCTTTTTGTGACTATAGAAATTTATAAAAAGGTGGCGGGATGGTTTATAATTTATAAAAAGGTGACAGGATGGCATTCTTTCCGCATTCCACCTCACTTTGATCGCAGTATATATATATATATATATATATATATATATATATATATATATATATATATATATATATATATATATATATATATATATATATATATATATATATATATGTATGTATATATACATATAGATATAAATACAGCCCTTGGAATAAGAGTCATTGTTTGACAATGCAAACTTAAAAGTATTTGAGCTTGGCAAAAAAGTGCCGATCTCTTGTTTTATTGTAACTCCTTTGTGTAAATTTTTTTTTTGCTGACCTCTAACAGTTTAAGTTCAGCAATTTATCACCAACCTCATTTTTCCTATTTCTGAGGGCTGCATATAGATAAATATGTGTAAAAAACGTATTGGTTGTTAAAGTTTAGTAACACTATTTAGTAATAATTTAAATAATACCTTTGTGTATATACCTTTAATAGTTTTTATGTTTATAATTTTTAGCAATGTCTATAGTACAAAGGAAGCGAAAAAAGGAGCATAATAGACAAAACAATCTAAAGAATTGGAAAACCACTGATATTAGTAATGAAATTCAAGATTGTTTTTCTTTGGAAGGATTTATGGGATTAGATGAGCTAACAGATTATAATGAAGAAGATATTAAAGCACTAATTGTTCATCCAAAAAAAAAGAAAAAGTCCACACCTTCAAGTCCTGATTTTAAAGAAGAGCTTCAAGTTTCAAATTTATTAAATTTGAAAAAACAGAATAATCAAAAAGGTAAAGAGAAAAAAAAAGCAACTACTGAAAATGATTTCATTAACTTAACTTCTCTGTCAAAAAACTCAATAAATGATACTTTTTTAACAGAGGAACCTAATTTACTAAAAGACTCACCTCAATCAAATAAGAAAGAGACAAATCAGTCATCAAATGAATTGTTATCTAAGCTTTCAAAAAAGGAAAGTCGTAAATTGAAAAGAAAAATTACTTTTAAATTGAAACTGAAAGAAAGAAGAAAAAAGTTAAAGGAATTAAAACGAAAACAAAAAGCAAGTGACACTAATAATGAGAATAATAATAATCAAAATAGTCTCAATGAAAGTCACGACAGTTGTAATAAAAAACAATTTAGCAGTAAACCAGTTGAGGCAAATTTTAGTGAAGGTATTTATGTTTTAAGTTTAAACAGAATTTTATAGTTTCCTATATTATTGTTTTTTAGTTATATATTAGGACTAGTTATTATTTTTTATTCAACATGAATTAAAATTATTTAGTGTTATGTTTAATAATAACATGGTGGTTATGTTGTAAACTCACATGTTAAAGCAATTAAGTTAATGCGGAAGTACATTAATTTTTATTGCTTTTTAAAAAAAAAAGCAATAAAAATTAATGTGAAATAATTTTGACTAGAAAGTTTATTTTAATTAATGGTGTTTTTGTTGTTGTTTTATTAAAATATATTTTAAAAACGTTGCTACATCGACAATCTTATAGCCTGCTGCTACAAGTGAGTGTTGCTAAATCGACTATCTTATAGCCTGACTCGCAACAGAGTGTTGCTACATTGACTATCTTATAGCCTGACTTGCAACGGAGTGCTGCTACATTGACTGACAAATAGCTTGACTTGCAACGGAGTGCTGCTACATTGACTGAGGGTTTGGTTAGGGCAGGCAGTCTATAATTTAATTAGAAAAAAAAATTCAAGGTTTTAAACTATTTCTGGTCTGGTTTATTAGCGCTCTCTTTAAAACTACTGTTTATGGGTAAAACTTTTCGACAAACATGCAAGAATATATATATATATATATATATATATATATATATATATATATATATATATATATATATATATATATATATTTAAGTAATTTTAAAATATCTTCTAAAAAATAGAGTGCTCAATGTTCTTAAAAAAACAGAGCAATTATAAATTAGTTTTTAATATTGCATGTTTTTTTAGATAGACTTGAACTTGCATGCTTCAACTGACAATCCTTTTTTTTTTTTATTCTTTACAACTTGACAACAGCTTTTTAAATGTTTTAACTATTTAAATGAAGCAAAAAAGTCATTTCATTACAAATAACTTTTAATCGTTGATCTTTTTTAAAGTTTTTATTTTATGCGAAGGCATAAAATAAAAACTTTAAAAAACTTTAAATAAAATCAAAATTTTTAAAAAGTTTAAATAAAATCAAAAATTATAATTTAAAATAAACGCATTATGCAGGCCTTCTCGAATAAGGCGTGCGATCGCACGCCTTATATGACCACATAAATAGTTCTTTGTTTTAACAACTTGACCACGGCTCGTTGCAAGTTTTGATAATTAGTGCATTTAAAAATTGCGCTAAAAAAAAAACAAAGCAAATTAAAATAAACAATCCATAAACTGAAAAGAGAATAAAATTCTCAAAATAATATATATAACAAAAATTAACTTAAAAAAATAAAATATTTAAAGAATGATAAAATAAATAAAGGAAAAACCAGAAAAAAATCAAAACATATATTAATTAATTTAAACTTAATTGGAAGCAAAAGTTAAAAAATCACAGCTTTAATAATCTTTACTATTCCTTCCCATGAATAAATAGGCTAATACAAGTTCAGATCCATAGTGAGGGAAAAGGTCATGAAATTTAATAAAATTTTCTGGTACAAATTTAAAATTTTATTAAAAAGTTAATAGGATTCAGGGTGCAACAAATCGACAAATGTGTGCACATTTCATTAAGACAGACAGAAAAACAAACATCACGTTTCTTTAATTTTGCTTATGCAAACGTTGCCGTTCGATTAAGATTTTTCAAAACAAACGCGTTACTTCAGCAATTTTTTCAAAATAATTTTGCGATTAATAGTTTTTTATTAATTACAAAAAACACATATTTAAAATGAAAAACAATTAATTACAGAGACTTTTTTTAAAAAATGCCAAACATAATTACTTTTTTCAATAGCGTCACTATTAAGTAAAATAAATAGAAAAAAGTAATTATGTTTTAGCATGGTTTTTGCATGCGCTCACAAAAGTATGATAGTTTTACTTAAAATAGATGCTTTAGCAAAAACTTCAAAAGAAATCGTTTCTTAACAATTTGATTGCTTTATTTTATTGAACAAAACGTTAATAATGTTTAAGCTTGGTTTCTCTTCTGTTTTTGCAATTACATTAAAAGTATAAAGCAAATGATTTCATTATAAATAAAATTTATAATGTTAATTTTTATATATAATAAACTATAAATATATTATATAAAGTTAGAAATTGTGCATGCTTTTTTTTTAATTTTCTTATTTTCCATAAACTGAAATAATGTTTGTTTGCATATTAAAAACACTTTTGAAAGTTTTTTTTATCGTGCGTTTATCATTAATTTGCGTTTTGCAAAAGTGTAAAATAAAAGTTTTTTGAAAATTGAATAAATTTACCAAGCATCTTTGATATATTTGATAACTTATTAACTAGAATAAAAATTATTTGAAACTTGTTTGACATAAATCTCTTAAATTAGACGTTCGTCAATAAATAAAGATACGCAAGTCAACGTTCATTAAAAAAAAAAATAGTTGGCAAATGCGACTATTTCTAGATTATTGTAATTCTTTTTTTTAGTAAATAATTTCTTTATTAGAAATAATAGTTTTATGATAAAATGGTTTGTAATTATTTTTTGATTTACTTATTTTGCTTCTGTACTCATTTTGCCTTAAACTCTAATCTGAATATTTTTTTCAACAATTGCTTTTATTAAGTTGCATTAAAATACTTAGGAAATTTTGTGGCAGTTTAATTGTGTTTATGGAATCAATTAAATTAAAAATTGGATTTGTTTTCTTTTAGCGCATTTTTTAAACGCGTTAATTATCAAAACTTGCAAAGAGCCATGGTCAAGTTGTTAAAACAAATAACTATTTGCGTGGTCATATAAAGTGTCTGATCGCACGCCTCTTACGAGAAGGCCTGTTATGTGTAAATTAAATATTATATATATATTTTTTTAGTAGGTATGTATTTTTTATAATAAATTTGAACGTTTAAAACTATTTTTAAACTAGTTAAACAAACATTCAAATTTATCATAAAAAGTCTTTCTAAAAATCTTTTATTAAAATAATATTATTTTCAAGTTACTTTAAATTATGAATAAGTTAAATTAAATCTTCCCATGTTTTTTTTTTTTTTGTTTCTATTTTTACAACAAATTGTTTAAAAGTTGTTGTTTTTTTAAACTTGACTTTTAATCAAAGAATGAAATGGTTAAAAATTACAATTTTAAAAAGACAACGTTGTTTTTTTAAACAATTTTTTTTTGCAATTTCTTTAAAAAAATGTTTGTTCTTTTCAATAATTTAATTTCACTTTTCATTAATTTAAAGTAACTTGAAAATAATATTATTTTAATAAAAGATTTTTAGAAAGACTTTTTATGATAAATTTGAATGTTTGTTTAAATAGTTTAAAATATTTGTTTATTTATTAAACAATCAATAGAGGTATTTTGTAAAAGCATTTTGCGTTAATTTACTTTAATAAAACATTTTTTAAAGCATTTTGCGTTAATTAACTTTAATAAAACGTTTTATAAGATAAGTTTTAAAGTAATTTATTTCAAACGTAACAAAAAGTAATTTTAACTTATAGTTTTTTGATTTTTATTTTAAAGCTTTTCATTTGTTTTTAATTTAATTTACTTTACTTTTAATTTTAATTTTTATATATATACTAAAGTATTTATTTTGTAGAATTTAATTTCCTTCGGTCGAAATGTCTGATTACTTTGTAAAATGATTGGACAATTTGAGATTTTAGCCTGACAAATCTCTATAAATCTTAAATCCGACCTTGCATGCAGTATTGCATGCAAGGTCGGATTTAAGATTTATAGAGATAAAGAATAGAATTTGGAGTAAAGAAGTGATAGACGACTTAAAAAATTGCAAGTTATATGAATCAGGAAAGCAAGATAAAGGAAGCGAATTCCAAAGAACTGATGTTCGAGGAAAAAAACTAGAGGAATAAGAGTTTTTGGAACACTTAGGAACAGTTACAGAAAAAGAATGAGACTTAATTAAATGACGAGTAACACGAGAGTAAATTTTAATAGATGGCACAAGAGACGCTAGCTTTTTAGAGCAGTGGCCATTATAGTATTTGTAGAAAAGAGAAAGAGAAGTGACATTACGACGATGTGATAATGGTTGAAGGTTGACTGCAAACAGCAGATCCAACTATGTTTACAATGCGTTTTTGCACCTTCAAGCTCAAATGCCCCCTCCAAGCAATCAGAGAGTTTTGGCTTCTTATCATGACACAAATAAAAGGTAGTATCATCAGTGAACAATGCCACCTTAGATGTGACAATGTTCGGAAGATCGTTTATGTAAATTAAAAAGAGTATAGGGCCAAGGATTGAACCTTAAGGAACCCCTGAGGTTACAGAATAAGAAGAAGAGTCCTGTCCATCAAGGACAACTTTTATACTACGATTGAAAGGAAGGATTCAATAATCTTAAAGAAGAAAGCTTATGGAGAAAACTAGCATACCAAATTTTATCAAATGCTTTAGAAATATCAAGAACAATGGCCTAAATCTCTCCATCATTATCTAATGCACGATAAAACCTATTGAATATTGTTGTTAGCAAATCAGCCATAGAACAAGAAGTTCGAAATCCATATTGATGATCAGAAAATAAGTTATTAGATTCAAGATAAGAGATTGTTTGTTATTTAAAGATTCAAAAACCTTGCTTATGATAGGAAGAAGACTAATGGGACAGTAGTTAAACGAATCAGATTGCTCTCCAAAATTTTTAAAAATAGGTATAACAGATGCTGCTTTCCAGCAGGCAAAACAAGACTCTGATTAGGACTTGTTGAATAGTTTTAAGAGGATAGACGACAGCTCTGGAGAACACTTTTGCATGACTATAACAGGTATGTTGTCTGGGCCACAAGCTGTAGAAGAGTCTAAGCAAGAAATCACTTTAGATACAAAAGCTTGAGTGATACAAATGTCAAGGAATGGATTAACCTGTTTGATGGCTATATCAGGTAGAACACAACTAGTGGAATCAAGAGATGATATTGATGAAAAGTTTTTTAGCAAATAATTCAGCTTTGTCTTTAGGTGAGGTTACAAAGTCTG